GCTGAAAGCTAAGAGGACTTAAAATACTTACTGATGAAGATCAAAGAGCACAGCCTTCAGTATGGACTGCATCTCCATGTAAAGAAAATACAAATCCTCACCACTAAACCAATAAACGACATTCTTATCAATGGAAAAAAGATTGAAGTTGTCAAAGACTTCATTTTGCTTGACTATCAATACTCATGGAAGCAGCAGTCAAGAGATTAAATGACGTACTGCATTAAGCAAATCTACCAAACAAGACCTCATTAAAGTGTTCAAGAGCAAAGACGTCAGTTTGAGGACTAAGGTGTGCCTGACGCAAGCCATGGTAATTTCATGTGAAAGTTGGACAGTGAATAAGGAAGACCATAGAAGAACTGATGCATTTGAGTTACAGTGTTGGATGAGAATGTGAAAACTATCACGTATTGTCAAAAGAACAAACAGATCTGTGTTGGAAGAAGTACAACCAGAATGCTCCTTGGAAACTAAGATGGCAGACTTTGTCTCTCATACTTCAGACATATTGTTAGGAGGGACCAGTCCCTGAAGAAGGGTATCATGTTTGGTAAAGTGGAGGGTCGGAGAAGACAAGGAAGACCTCCAACGAGATGGACTGGCACAGTGACGGCAGCAATGGGCTCAGACGTAGCAATGATTCTGAGGTTGGCCCAGGACCGGATAGTGTTTCGTTCTGTTGTTCGGTCCCGACTCGGTGTCACGAAACAACAACAAACTTTCCTATCTGCACATTCATATCAATGGAAAGAGAACTTTCTAAATATATATGTATTTAAAGACTGTTTTGTTTTGTTTTTTACCCCACTTGATAAAAACAGAAAAATGCAACCTTTTTTCCTTGTGTTTAATTCATATGAGAAGACGAATTTACTAGCCAAGTTTTTAACATAAATCTTTGGTTGGGTTGCATTGAATAGTATGTGAATTATATCTCAATAAAACCGTTTTTAAAAAACAACAACAAAACCCCACAAACCTTTGTTTACTTGGGGATGGTAGTTATATGCCATGGAGTCGGTTTAATTAGCAGGACTGAAAAAATGGGTAGAATGACTTAGAAAGCTCATCCAATGATAGATGGACTTTTATAAAGCGTCTTTTAAAACTACAACAACCATTGTGTTTTGAAATAACTTCAAATAAGATCTTTCAGCCGCTGAATAAGACCAAGATTTTTTAACAATGACATATATGTAACCACATTGCTTTGGCTAGTTATTCAAACTTAATAATTATTATTAGTGATAACTTTGGAATGAGCACAAAAAGATTTTTCTATCACTAATTAAGGAAAAAACTGTTTAACTTCATATTATTTATTTAATCTTTAGCTCATCCTTCAAGCCATTCTTTTCCTGTGTATATTTAACTACATAGGAGGGGGCTTCAAAAAGTTCATGGAAAAATGGAATGAAAAGATAATGGAATTTTTCCATAAACTTTTGAAGCTCTGTTTTATAGCAATATTTGTATTAGTAGGTTGTTAAGTGCCATGGAGTCAGTTTCGACTCATAACAACCCTGTATAGGGTTTCCAAGGAGAAGCTGGTGAGTTTGAACCACAGACCTTGTGGTTCAAACTGAGCTTGCTGTCTAGTGTTTTATCCCACAGTGCCACACCAGGACTCTACAGTATTAGTATGGTGGCGGTGGCAGTTATGTGCCGTGGAATCAGTTCCGACACATAACGACCCTGTATAGGGTGTCTGAGGCTGTAAATCTGTATGGGAGCAGAAAGCCGTATTTCCCTCCTATGGAAATGCTGGAAGTTTCAAAATATAAAAATATATAAATGCAATGCACACACGTGTTGAGCTTACATGTTCAAATTTTTTTTTTTTTCACTAATAGGAGTTCATGATCAAAATGTTTGATTTTAATCTGAAGTTGAAAACTCATCTGTCGGGAAGACCTCACTTCCTGGTGGATTAGTAGTTACTACCACAGTGAGTGGTAAAAAGTCTAGTCCTGGCATTAGGGCGGAGCGGTTGGTGGGTTCAGGAAAGAAGCCTTAACCTGGACGCCACCAAGGGCTGGGACTCCGAAGGCTCAGCCTTCCCAGGTTCCTTCCTTCTCCCATTTCCCTGAGAGCCCCCTTCCCATCTCGTACCTTGTTGAGGAACTGGTTCCAGCCAGAGGGGCAGCCCCCCAGGACTGTGGGCAGCAGGGCTGGGGGCAGGGTCTCGCGGGTGCTGTTGCTGCGCTTGCAGATGTAGGGCAAGGCTGTCAGACATCTCTGGTCCCCCCAGTCCGCTGTGGAAACAGAAAGGACAGTTACCACCAGGGCAGGGCTACTGAACCCATGCCTTGGGAGGAGGCTGGGCTGGGGCTCCCACCTCCTGGGTCCAGCTCTCAACTCAAGTCCTCTGTGGCTATGGGTGTCAGGAACAGGCTGTCCTCTCTGGGTCTAGCCCTGACAAGATACTGTGGATTGGGGGCACAAAGAGCCCAGCCAGGCTCTGCTTACTGCCTGCAAATGAACCTCTCGGCTGACTACCCCTTGTGTCTTGCCCTCACCTCGGCTGGCTGTCATGTACACACACTTCTTGTCCTTGCCGATGGGCCGCGGTTTGCCAGGTGCCCAGGAGATGAAGTTGATAATGGAATCATCTGTCCACCTGCAAAAGCACCGAGCAGGGATGGCGCCAACACTGGAGAGGCGCGGGCACGGCCTCCTCGTTTCCAGCACGAAGGCCATGGGAAAGGGGGCAGAGAGGAGCCCAAGTCCAGGGACTCAGTGGCTGTAGGCTGAAAAGGAGGGCTGCTAATAAGCTCGGTGCAGCCAGGGGCCCAGGGACCCCAGCCCTCCCTGAGCACTCATCTAACTAGAAAAGACGATGGAGACCCCCAGAGCAAGGCTCCAACAGCCAGGCTACAACTCCAGTATCCAGACCCTGAAGAGAGAGGCCTCTCTGGACCATCCTGCTTTCTTGCACACATCCTGAACAGGCCTGGCCCATGACATAATATGGACTGCCGTCACTTAGGGTCACTCTGCTCAGGACTGCACTGGCTGTTTCCAGTCCTCACCACCAGACAGACATCGTTACTGTTGTTAGGTGCCACCGAGTGGGTACTGATTCATAGCGACCTTATGCACAGCAGAACGAAACACTGCCCGATCCTGGGCCAACCTCACTACTGTTGCCACACTTGAGTCCACTGATGCTGCCACTTGGCCAATCCATCTTGTTGGGGGTCTTCCTCTTTTTCTCTGACCCTCCACCTTACCAAACATGAGATCCTTCTCCAGTGACTGGTCCCTCCTGACAATATGTCTGAAGTATGAGAGACGAAGTTTGGCCATACTGGCCTCCAAGGAGAACTCTGGCTGCACTTCTTTCAAAACGGAGCCATTGGTTCTTTTGGCAGCCCATGGCACTTCACTCTCCCCATTTTCAGATGGGAACAGTGAAGTCCAGAAAGGTTGGCGTTTGTTTAAGGTCACACAGTGCAGAGAGGAGCAGGGCTGGACTCAAACCCAGGTTTATAGTCTGTGTGCTTGGCCACCTCCTCTCACATCCAATGCCCACTGGGCTCCTACCTGAAACGTCCACTGCTTTCCAAGGTGTGCAGGCCGATCCACCAGTGCTGTTCCTGACCCCGGGAGAACTGGGGAAGGCGGCAAGCAGGTGAGGGTTGGCAAGGCCTCCCCTACGCCGCCCCCCACGTCTGCCACGGAGTGCCCACCTTCTGCAGGTTATGGCCCAGGAAGTCCAGCTCCGCCTGGCTGTGCACGGAGGTCAGTTCCGCATGGAACCACGTGCAGATTCGCTGCGCCTGGGCCCACGTGGAGTGGTGCTCAAAGAACTTGTACTCCGCCTCCTGAAAGCGCAACCATTCCCGCCGGCCTGGGGAACAGGTCGAGGAAGGAGCTGGGCGGCTAGGCCAGCGAGCGGACGGGCTAGCCCATCGGACTCTGCAGCAACTAACCACCATAGGGTTGGGCCAGAGCCTGCAGCTCCTTCGCGGCGGAGGCAGACAGGACGGAAGGTGCCCTGACCCGAGCCAATTCAGTTCCCATCTCTAGGTTCCAACCCTACCCCTTCGCATCGGGTGCTGACGTTCCCTCCCCTCTCCCGAGCCTCACCTTGAGGACCCACGTCCGGTTCCCGCACGTCGGTGCCTGCGGGGACAACGTGGACAGAAACACTGCAGGGAAAGGCGTCCCTGCCAGGGTACCAGATCCTCCAACCCGCCAGTTTCCAGAGTCCCGTTCCCGTGAGCCCCCCACCTCTGGGAATCTTGCATATCCAGTCCAGGGACGTCTCGCACTGCAGAGCCATCCACTGCAGGGAGGCCAGGTCGAGCACCGCGCAGCTCCGGATGTCATCATCGTCATGCCGACTCCGGTCGAAATTGTGGTATGAGAACTGGGGGACATGCGCAAGGACGGGTGGAGGGGGTCCAAGGCATACCCCGCCGTCGGAACCCCCTTATAAGAGGGACAACTGGCCTGGACGTCCTTCCACCTGCCCCCAAACTGCTTTACTATTACCTGCCAGCAGGGTCAGTCCCCGCCCCCTCCAGGCCCGCTTACTCCCAGGCCGTCGCTCCAACGCCAGCTCTGTCCACCACGAGGGTCGCGCCGGTTCAGCCCCATCCAGAACCAGTGCTGTTCGTGGATCTCGGGCTCTGACTCACTTCAGCACGGCGGGGAGAGGTCAGGGGACAGAAAGGCGGGATACGAATGAGCGGAACAGGGGTCCTCAGCCACTTCCTGCCCCTGGCATCTGCGCTTCACACTCATGGCCAAATACAATGTTGGACCCTCTTTAAAGGGGAGAGAATCCAAGAGAAGTGGGAGCTCTGGGCTGGGCACTTGGGTCCCTCGGCTTTACCAGCAAGACCCTGGTGACTTGACTTTCGGGTGTTTGGAAGTTGGTGGGGATGAAGCATAAACTGGGATTCACATTCTCGATCACCCAGAACCGGCTCTGTAACCAACTTCTGCCAGAGCGGTGCTCACAGAGCCTGGTGGGTTCCAACCTCAAAGTTAAGTGCCCAAAGAGCACTTAAACCACTGTACCACTTGGGCTCCTTTGCTGGGAGGAGCTCTGCCTAGAATTAAACTCTCAGGAAGCCTGGGTCCAGTTTGGGTTTCCCCCCTTGCTGAGGGCATGGAGGTGTGTCAGGATACTGTGACTTCACAGGGCCCCTGAGCAAATGCTAATCCTGTTCCCCCTATCCCTGGGATAAGTTGTTTATTAAGTGAGGGTTGTTACAGGATGATGTAGGGCCAGGGGGGAAAAACACTCAATTTGGATCAGATTGTGGAAAATTTTGCAATGGGGAGAAAGGGATAAGGGGGTGGAGACTTATGTAAAAGGGGGCTGTTGCTGATGAGCAACATGGGGTTTTGAAAACCAGTGTGCCTCCTCCTCCTAGCAAGCCTATTTGAGGGCGATGGGGTAGACCTGGATCTAGGAAGAGAATCACGTGTCATTCCAAGCCCACAGGCAGGCCCCATGAGAGTCACCTTCTCCCCCCAGCAAACCAGCAGCTACCACTGCTGCGCATGAAGACCCACTTATAACTGCGCACACATACTGGCACTCAGGCACCTGTGCCCCCCAAGCCCTCAGCAGGTTCCACCTCAGTACCCGAAGATTTTGTTGAGCATGTTGGCCACAAAGTGCTCCTCCTCATAGCTGGCCAGGCTGAGCAGCTGGGCCCCCAGTTCCTGGCAGGCGCCCTGGGCCTGGACCCAGCTCCTCTTGTCCTGCAGCCGGTCGGAGCTGAACACCTGCAAGAGCAGAGCCGTTGTCCCAAAGGCCCAAGGCAGCAGGGGGAACTGGGCTTTACTGGACACAGGGACAATGATGCCCTCAGAGAATGAGCCCAGGGGAAGGGGGCTGGTACAGTCAGCTCCTAGTTAACAGCCCTCTGACCTGTCCCCTAACCATGAGGTCATGTGGGCTCTGATCCCAGCCTAGCTTCCCCCAGGGTCAGGTCCTTCATGGAATAAAGGATCTTGGGTTACACTGATGGCTCCCAAACTAACTGTGCTGAGTTTAAAAGTTCAGATTATCAGGCCCCACCCAGACCTCCAGCTCCAAATCTCCATGGTGGACGGAGGTCTAGATTATCATGTATCCATCTCTCCCAGGTGCCTGAAGAACAGCCAGCCTGGCCCCAGCATCCTCTGAAACAGTAGCTCTCTCTGGTTCCTTCAATTCCTCAAACATTTACTGAGCACCAACTATGTGCCAGCCTCCGAGCCCAACACATCAGCTTAATCCCACTGACAAGAGCTTCAGCAGTCTGGTGTGGGGGAAGGTGTCTGCAGGCCCACCCATCAAGGCTGTGGCTGGCTCCCACTGGGACCCCTCCAGGGATGCTGCCTCTGTGCTTGCCTACCTCTGCCTCCCTCCCAACAAGATGTCCTACCTTATAGCAATGCCGGAGTTTGGGGTCTGAGGCCCAGCCCTGGGGGCAGGAGCCGGTGAGGCTGGGTGTGGGGTCTGGCCCAGGCAGCTCTGGCGTCACAGGCGTGCCCAGGCTCTGCCGGCAGATGTATCGAGCCCGGAACTCGGTGCAGTTCTTCACCTCCCACAGCCCCATGGCGCTGCCTGTGGCCAGGGCTACGCAGCCCCCACGGCTGTACCCTGAAAGGGGGAACAAGGGGATCCACACACTGGAAAAGGATTCACAGTCTGGTCCTCCCTTGTACCCCCTCAGAGCACCAGCAAGGCCTGGCACTGGGAACCAGCTGGCCATCTCTACAAGGACACTCTGTAGGGTCCAGATCCAGGCAGGAGGAAAAGAAATGGATGCAGAGGGACAAGGTTCAAGTCCTAGCTCTGTGTTTACTCTTGTGAGATCTTCAGCAATTTACTTAACCTCTCTGAGCTGGATTCATCATCTGCCTCAGTGAGTTATTGAAAGGGTTAAAAAAGATAATGAACGTGGCATAATAATCATAACAATTGCAAAAACAATTGTGTTGTTGCTGTTAGGAGTCTTTCGGTGGAGTTCCAACTCATAGTGACCCTCTGTGACAAAGGCAAAGTGCCCCAGTGGGCTTTCTTTCTGTAATCTTCACGGAAATGGACTACCATGGCGTTCTTCCTTGGAGTTGTTGGGTGGCTTCGAACCACCAACCTTCTAGTTAGCAGTCACACAACATAAGGGCTCCCAACACCTGTATAGTGCTCACTGCTCTAAGTACTTTACCTATATTGATCCATTTGAACCTCACCTCTGAGGAAGGTACCCACCTCACCATTATACAGATGAGGAAACTGAGGCTCAAAGGATGCACAACTAGTAAACACAGAGTCAGGATCTGAACCCTGGGCCATTTCGCTCCAGAGCCTGTTCTCATAACCACTAGCCCACTGAGTGATCAAGTCATGGCAAAGCCTTGGGTCCCGGTCCTGGTGTGGCTGGTCCGCCTCCAGCCTCCCAGCTTCCCCCCAGCCAAGGGTATGGGAGGTGACGAAGCGCTGTGGAGAAGGCTCACCAGGCTGGTCCCGGTTCCAGTGAGTGTACATGACCTCATCCCCGCTGAGCCAGCGGAAGGAGCCGGTGCTGTTGAGGTCCTGCAACGCTGTCCAGAAGTACTTGCCATCCCAGTTGTAGATGAGGCTGCTGACGAAGGCCTGCTCAAACCTGTGGGAGAGAGGCTGCTCAAGGCAGAGGGGTCCCCCCACCACTTCCTGGGCCAGTCCTGTGCTTGGTAGGCCAGAGGCGCTGCCCTGGGAGCTTGAATACTCTGCCTGGCCAGTAACTTGCTTAGGAAAACAGGGGCCCTGCAGCTGATTCACAGAGCGACCGTCCATACCTCCTCTCTGGTAAGAAGAGAAAACTGGACACAGCTAAGGAGGCCTGCCTTTCTTGGGTGTCCAGCCCACGCCAATAGGAGGGGAGACAAAAGTATTGCTACATCACAGAATATTAAACAAAAATATTAGCACAAGAAACTGTTGTTTATCATCCTCCATGTAAGTGTATAAACTTCTAAAAGCAGTGCCCCATCTCTGGTCTTCCCCTGAAGAATTCTGCGCTTCCATTTACAGACACCCCATCCAAACGATGTGTCGGCATCCTTGAGGAACTCAATCCTGTTCCTTTAAACATCCTTTGAGTTGTAGACACCCAAATAAGTCTGAAGGGATAAGATAAGGGCTGGAGGGTGGATGGGGTAAAGTTTTCCAAGGACATTTTCCTACGCCAGCCCTAGCTACTCTTGAAAAATGAACAGGTGCATTGTCATGATAGAAAAATATTCCTCAGAGCAACTTTCCTGGCCTTTTTCTCACTAAGGTGATTTTCAATTTCCTTAAAATATCTTGATAATAAGCCTTGGCCATCATCCTGTGACCTTTGAGAACATCTATCAAGATTACTTAAAAAACAAAAAAAAACAACCACAAAATTATTTCTTTGCCTTGAGTTTAACTGGTCCAGCAGAAGCTACTGTTTTGGTTGGACCACTTCCTTAAAGGCACCCCAACGAGACTAAGGTCAGTGTATCCCTGAGAGAACCTGTCTGCAGCCATCCACTGATCGCAGAGACATGTTTAAGCACGTTTTGCTTGGGATAAACTGGTGCCTGTATGAACTGAAACCCTAGTAGCAAGGTTTTGACTCACCGTCGTACTTACCCCTGCCCAGACCCTGCCCCACACTGGGGTCGCTTAAAGAATGATTCATCCTTGTGACAAGATTAGAAAGAGGTCCTGGGGGCAGTTGGGGTTCAAAGGATTCCAGGTCCCTCTGAGTATGATGGCAGGATATTGTTACCCCTTTGGGTGGAGGGAACCCCTTAGGCCAAGACTCCAGTCCCTTCCTGTACCTGTTGGTGATGGTGACCAGCTGGGAGCCATGGTCAGTACACAGGCGCCGGGCCTCACTGTAGGTCACTTGGTCCTCTCCCAGCCAGTAGCAGGATGGGCTATGCCACGTCCAACCCTTAGCCAAGAGAATGAGGAGAAAGTGGGCATATGGGAGAGGGCCTCTCCCCCTGTGTCCCTAGGGGTGGGAAGTCACCAGTGGACACACAACAGAAGGACATTGGCTTTGACCCCAGAGCAGTAGTTCCTGTGGCTGCACTCAGGTCTCCCCATACCTCCCTTCTCATCGCTGCCCACAAAGTATGGCCCGAGGGTGGCTGCTCTGTGACTGGGCTCAAATGCTGGGTAGCTCATGGGATTCCTCTCTTGGACATTTGCACCAAAAGATACCGTGGGCAGACTGCCAGCTGGCTGAGGCACCAAAGCTGGAAAACTGGGGCAAGCTGTCAGGATATTCAGAGCTCTGTGATCTCGGGGGAGTCAGGAAAGCTGGGGTAAGCGGAGGAGGTGCCTGGCCCAGAGCATCAACCAGCACAAGTACAGTGTAGACTCCTAAGAGCCTGGCTCACCTAAGAGGCCCCATCCCTCAGAGTCCTTCTTCCTCAGGCCACTCTGAGCAGCATTTGTCCCAGCCACCAAGACCCTGCCTTACAGATAAGTCACTGAGGCTCTGAGAAATCAAGTGGCCTGTCCCTGGTCACACAGACAGCAAAGGTGGAGCCTGAACTTGAACCCACACTACTCCAAGACTAGCCCCTCCTTCTCAGGTGTTGGGCATGGACCTGGCAGCCTGGGAGGAGGCTGGAGGTGGGGGGAGAATGAGACTACGTCGCCCCCTGGGCAGGAGCCAAGGCATAAGGAGGGGTGTGTGTCTAGGTGGGGAGGAGGTACTGGTAGGCTCAGCAGGCTCTGCAGGTATGAAGCAGTTACCCCCGCCTCCAGAACACAGCCCCTGGGCTGCTCCCCATCCCTGAAACTATCCTGGCCCCACAGACTTCTCAGGGGGCTCCTACCTACTCCCTCCTCTGTCCACAGTGGACGTCACATCTGCTGGCATTTCCTGCCCCCTCGCCCTGGGAGGTTTTAGGGCGTGGGTGGAGTGGGTGTGACAGGGTAAGGGGGCTTAGTCCAAAGGAAAACAAAGTGTGGAGCCAGGCTGGCAGTGAGGGGCCGGCAGGAGGAACGTGGCTGCCAGCCGGGCAGATGGCGCCGTTAGAAGCCAAAACACCACAAAGTACCCTTTATGAGCGATCCTGTACACAGCCATACTGCGCACCCCTGCTCAGCTGGGGTCCCGAGGAGGGGAGCCTGGGAGGCCTAGGGGAAGAAAGTCAGTCCATGGCTCCCTCACCCACACCCTTGCCTGTACACTCAGTCCCTGTCATTCATTCCTGAATTCCCTCTCTCACTCCCCAAAGTCTTCTGGAAGTCCAGGGGGGAGGCTAAGAGCACAGGAAGGGAAGACACATTGCCACCCACATTAGCCCCTCTTTCTCCCAGAGCGCACATTTGATAAGACTACGTGTGTCAGCAGGCCCCCGTGGGACGCAGGCTTCACCCAACAGACCCTGGTGGGACGCAGGCTTCACCTATCAGACCCAGGTGGGATGCAGGCTCCACCCAGCAGCCCTACCTCCTCATTCTCTGATGGCTCAGGGCTGGGGATGGAAGGCTCTGCTTCCTCCATACGCCCCCTTCACTCCCCAACACCCCATCTCCTTCAAAAACAGAATTCAAGACTGGGCAGCAAATGCTCCAGAAACAGCCTCACCTTTCGGCAACCATGATCCTCCTCGCTGGTGCCCTGGCTCAGCTGACCTGCCTTTTTGCAGATGGATGGCAAGGACTGGTTACAGGGACTATCATTCCAGCGACCCTCCTAGGGACACAGGGTTGGGGAGAGTCTCAGATCCCCCACCCCAGCTCTGCCAAACCCCCAGTGAACCTGGTCTCAGGCCTGCCCTTCCTTCAGACTTGCTGTGGGATTCTGAGTCTGTCCTGGGGGAGGGGTGGGAGTGGGGGTAAAATGCAGACAGCTGGTTAGTCTGGAAGCACCTCAGGGTTGATGAGAACACAAATCAAATAAAGGTGTGAAATCGCTCAGAAACATTGACAAGCACTATCTAAATGGGGGGGGGGGGGGGGAAAGGTGTAAAAATTACTTATAGCTCGTTTTATAAACATCAAGGACAAATTGGCTATGAGTACTAAAAGTATCTGAAGGCAGGACAGACAGACAAGCTGATGGTATCCAGGTAGTACCTGTACACCCAGGGAGGACTCATGAAGCTGAAGAGTTTAGTTCTGAACCCTTACGGAGTGCTGGTGACTCTGTTGGATAAGCACTGAACTGCTAACCACAAGGGTGGCAATTCAAATCCACCAGCCTCTCCATGGGAGAAAGATGAAGCTTTCTGCTCCCATAAAAATTTACAGCCTCGGAAACACTATTCAAAGTCGTTCTGAGTCGGAACTGACTCGTAGCAGTTACCAATCCGCCTTAGTCCTCCTTGGTGTTGGATTCCCAGCATCAAGGAAAATGCACAGCGCATAGTAGGTATTCAATCACCGGTCTAACTTTTTAGCATCCCTGTCATGGATTGAATTGTGTTCCCCCATGTGGATACGATCCCATAGGGAAGTAGGCTTTTCGTATGTGAATGTGCTTGTAGCATAGGGGTTACAAATCAGGCTGCGAACTGCAAGGTCAGCAGTTTGAAACTACCAGCTGTTCCATGGAAGAAAGATGAGGCTTTACATCCTCGGAAACCCTGTACAGGGTCACTATGAGTCGGAACTGACTCCACGGCTCATAACAACAATGTGCTTGTATCCATGTGGTCTTAAACCAATCACATTGGGGATATAAAAGGCGTTTAGGTACAGAAGCAAGTGGAAATGGAGGAAAGATGAAACCACGTGCCATCTCCCAGAAACACTGAGAAAGAGATTTTTCCCCAGAGTGAACAGAGAGTTTGCCCCTACAGCCAGCGCCCTGAATTTGGACTTCTAACCTCCTAAACTGTGAAAATAAATCTGTTAATTAAAACCACTCACTTGTGCTATTTCTGTTAGCAACATTAAGAAATAAAGACAATCCCCTAAGCCAGATGATGGCTCTGTCGCTACAGGCTCTGCTGGCTCTGACGTTCGTTCGTAGTATCTAATGGCTAAATGTCCGATCTGTCCCTGGTACAGTGATCTACCCCTCAGGCTATTTCCCACTTTTCAAAGGTTCCCTTGGAGTTCTGGTGTGGTGCTGTAGGATAAGCACTGGACTGCTAACCACGAGATCAGCAGTTCAAACCCAATGGTCCCTCCTCAGAAACCCTATACAGGGTTGATATGACTCAGAACCGACTTGACGTCACTTAACAAGAAATTACTTAACGTTATCGAATCAAGACTCTGATAGGGTTTCCAAGGAACTGCTAGTGCGTTTGAACCACCGACCTGGCAGTCCAGTGCATTATCCTACAGTGCCACACCAGAAGTCCAACAACAACAACAAAGGGTCTCTTCTGTGCAGGATGCTCTTCATCACTTCCTCCCTCTACCCATCTTGGCCAAAATCATGGCCAACAGTCATGACTCCATGGCTTAGGAAGACAAGTCCCTGAGCTGGGTGGGAGTTTGGGGGCATATCCACTAGTAATTATGTGTTCTGATACCACATATAGACCAAGAATGTGCCAGGAAGCATCCTCAGTCTTCATGACAGTTAACTCCTTTAATCCTCCCTGAAGCACTGCTAGTGTTGCACTGAGGTACAGTAAGTTACAGTAAGTAACTTAGTAGGGGCATAGCTAGTTAGGGATGAAGGCAGGATTCAACCCCAGGCAGTTTCTCCCTGTGGAAGGGAAGGGAGTGGTGGAGGAAGGGCTGCTGAGAGAATAAGAGGGATGTGGCTGTGACAGACAGACGGACATTAACCTGGGACGTTCAGAGGCTGGAAGAGGAACAGAGGATGGGCTGTCCACTAAGACATGTCCTTCAGCAGGGACAGTACCAGGAGGGTCGGGTGAGGGAGAGGGGAGTCTCACCGGCCCCCAGATGGTGACACAGTCCTCGAGGCTGTCCCGGAAATTGTTGGGCTCAAAGGGATGCCAGTGTGTGAAGCTCACCAGGCTGCCATCTGACCACTCAAAATTCATCTGCAGCTTCAAATCGTTAAGGCCGATCCACAACTCCTCCACTTCTGGAAGTTGGGGTAAAAGGGAAAAGGGACAAGAAGAGGGTCATCTTCCTCCAAAAGTAAGGAAAGAAGGGGCAGCCCCCTGGCCTCCTGGCCTCCGCCCGGGCACGTGCATGGGCAGCCCCTCACCCTGTTTGATCTGCTGAGTGATGAACTCCAGCTCGGCCATGCTGTGAATGCTGAGCAGGTCACCACCGCCCCGCAGACACGCCTTCTTGGACTCCTGCCAGCTACGCTTCTCAGCCTGCAGGCGGTAGCAGTGGCCCTGGAAGGGCTGCCAGCTGGGCTCACAGTCCACCTTCACGTTGGCCCACGCGTCTGCAGAGATCCAGAGGCCGCTGCTCAGGGACCCCGCCACCCAGCCTCAGCACCTTATCCCAGACTCACCTTGTCTCCACCCCTATCCCAGATCTTCCCTCCCCACCAGGGCAGGCCTTGGATATACTGAAAACATAAGCCCCTCAGAACTCCTGGTGCTGAGCTGCTTATTGAAAGGTCAGCACTTGGAACTCACGCAGCTGTTCCTCCAAGGGAGAAAGCCCTAGACATTGGTTTTCATAAAGATTATAGCCAAGAAAACCTTACGGACTCGTAACCACTACGCTACCAGAGCTCCTTAATGGGGGACAGTTAGGCCCATCTGGAGACTGAGAGAACAGCAGGGGTGGAGTGGGGCAGGGGAGTCACTGCTGATTGGCTGGGAGTGATGTCATCTCTCCCCCCCCAAATCTAGGATTCTTTCCCTAGTTCCCTCCTCAACCCCAGATTCCCCTCCCTGCACCTCAGGACTGAGAAACTAATGGGGGACCTTTCCTCGGCCCATCCCCATGCATTTCAGGTTCAACCTGTAGCCAGAGCTCTAGGAAAAGGTCTGAGGGCCTTGAAGGCAAACAAGCCCTCACTTGGGTCTTGGCAAGAGCAAACAGGCCTTCACCAAGCCACCCACAATGGCAGGCTCGGGCAGGGCTCTGCTGGCCAGGTGGCAGGCCATGTGCCTACTCAAAGCAACACCTCAGACTGGGAATCTAGACCCTTGAGACTGTTTCCTGGAAACACTGACAAGTGAATGGGGCTGAGACCCTGAGGGCAAGATCCCATCCGAAGCTGCAGGCAGGCAGACTAGCAGAGTTCCCGAGGGGAGCGCTTTGAGCGCTTGGAGTAAGGGAGTTCAGAAAATGCAAATGCTTTTGGGGGCCATGAAGGCACCTGACTTCGGAATGCCAAGCCTTGAGAGGTGAGGTCTGGAAAATGTGGCTCGAGCAGAAAGAGGTGTGCTGGGATGAGGGAGGGACCCGGAGAGATAGGTCTGCAGGTCCAGAGAAGCTAAAGGAAAATTTTACAGGGGCTGCTAGGCAGGTCCAGGGGACAGGGAGCTTATGAGGGGCCAGTCCTACTGGGGACCACCAGGGACCTGTGGCCCTCCTTCTTTCAGAAAGCAGCTTCTGGAAAGATCTGGGATTGGTGCTGGCTGCAGCACCCACTCCAAGCAGAGGTGGGGTGCTCTGGATGCACAGTGACTGTATTTTAAGTCTTTGCTCCTAATCCCCAGTACCGACAGCCTCAAATCAAACTCTGGCAAGACTTTAATGCTCAGGAGTATACGTTTTACTCTGTACGTCCTTTAATTTCTGTGCGTTTGTGGATATTTTTTGTGGTCCTGCCATATTTCCCTTGTGAAAAAAAAAAAACAACGAAACTAAAAACCCTCTTCACCATCCCCACAGCCACCCAGACTGCTACAGTGCCTCTACCTACTGATTCACTCCAGTCACCATCTACTCACAGGCCCCTTGGAACTAGGCCAGGTCTCCAGCCTTACTTACACCCAGCCTGCAGGGCGCTGAGTTTGTTCTGTTCTTTTTGCACATGAGGCCCCTGCACCTCAGAGACTGAACTGTTTGTCCAGAGCCCCACATGGCAAGGGGCAAAGTAAGGAGTAGAATGCAAGTCTCCAGGCCCCCAATGCAGTGCCCTGCCCATGGCCTTTCCTGTCCATGCGGCCCCCAGGGAGATCCCTATGACTCACTAATGGGAATGCAATACAATCCCCTGCTTTAAAGCCTGCTTAGGCTCTCCACAGAGTCCTGGTGTGGTGCTGTGGGCTAATGAGTCAGATTGCAAAGTCATTTGAACTGTAAGGTCGGTGGTTCAAGCTCACCAGCTGCTCCCTGGAAACTCTATACCGGGCCGCTATGGGTTGGAATTGAGTCGAAAGCACTTAATAACAACAACAACAAGGCTCTCCACAGCCTACCTGGTACCGCCCTCTTCACCCTGCTCTCTAAGTCAGCACTCCTCAAATGGGAGCTGTCCAGGAATCAATCACCTGAGGATACCTCTCAATACAGCTTCCAAGTTTCTGCATTTCTAATAAGTTCCCAGGAGACTACACTTTAAATACAGTCATGCATCACTTAACATCTACTATGCGTAATGTAAGATAGGACGTTAAGTGATTTTGATGTTCTTTGGACATGCCTAAATCACACATGATAATTCCACATTTGTGTTGTTTTATAACTTTTTGTTTCACTTCCAAATAGATATGTCTCCTTTGCCTTTTGCTGCTAAGATTAATAAGCACTGGTGTTTAGTTGTGTTTGGAAGCCATGATGCACTTCACAGTAATATTTTCCAAATAAAATTAAACAGATACAGTGCTACCACAAATAAGAGAAACGTCATAGTACAGGAGAGAAGATTGTCTGGGCTGCCTACCTGTGGGAGCATACATGGTAACTTTTTAACCCTAAATAGGGAAAGTTTGCATTAAAACAAGGATGGAAAGTGCACTACATACATAAGCCAATTAGAATTATGTATGTAGTACATACATAAGCCAATTAGAATCTCCTGAATTTTGTGTGTTATCCTAATGTGGTGCTGCAGGGTAACGTGCTTGACCACAGTGTTAGTTTGAGCCACAAGGACGGTGCTTCAAACTTACTGGCCACTCCTCAGAAACCCTATACAGTTATAAGTCGGAACTGACTCGAAGGCACTTATCCTACAGCACCACACCACACAATCCCAGTGTAGTGCTGTAGGATAAACACTGGCTGGTAGGATTAGCAGTCCAGTGTTCATCCCACAGTGTCACACCAGGATTCTACACAAAATTCAGGAGATTCTAATTGTGTTTTGAGATGTCTGTTACATCCTGCAGACACGTCTCCACAAAGTCAGGGCAAGTATTGCTAACATTTAACATCGCTCTCAGCAAATGTTCTCAGAGTGAATGAATGACACATTGCAACTTGTTCAAGCTTTAGCTGAACAATTAAATATGAACCAAGAGGATCAGACACTGGGTCTGTGGAGGTAGCAAGAGAAGAGACAAGTCTACCAGTGGCTATAACCCTGGCGAGTTCCACTCCCACCTGACCGCCCAGAGTCTCACTTACCTGGGGGGGGCTTACCTGGAGAGGTGGGTTCTATAGTGGCGTTGGGCTTCTTTTTGCACACATAGGGCAGTGCAATGCTGCAGTCCCGATTCTGCCAGCCACCAGAGGACTCAGTGCGGATCACCCCACAGTTCTCATCACTCGGGTTGTCTGGCTGATCTGTGGGGGGAAGACAGGGCACCCCTTGGCCCCTCAAGCCTTTCCCAAAAACCCCTGCTTGTCTCCCTTCCCTCAGAGGCCTTAGCTAGCCAGAGATGCCCTCTGGTCTAGCCCTCCTTAATGGAGACAGTAGAGCCCTCCACCACTCTGACCGGCTCCCCCAGGGTCTTGCACCCTTCATCCTGCCTCCTTGGCCAGGTGACTGGGCACATGGTACTCACTGCACAAAGGTGTCTGCTGTGTTGGGAATGAGTGGAGGCTGAAGCCAGCTCACACCATGGGCCTGTGGCCAGAGTCACTTCCTGATTCACACAAGACACTGCACTGGCTAGTCAGGCCCAGGCTAGGAGGGGTCTGAAATTGGAGCCCCCAACACACACACACACACACTGCTCCCAGTGAAGGAGGTGTTTTCTCAGCGCCCCAACCCACCCCTGATCCTCACCACTCTCCCAGTTGAGGTACTTGAGGGGCGAGTTGTCGGACCACTGCCAGCCGCCATTGGTGTCCAGGTCATTGAGGCCAATCCAGAGGGTGGAGCTATAGCCCGTGAGGAGTCCTAAAAGCGCCAGGGCCAATGACAAGGGGCAGTCCCTCCCTCAGCCCTCCCATTACCCCACACAAGTAGAAGGGGCTCAGGGCCCTCCAAAGGTGGGGACTGAGACCTCAGGTTCCTACTGCCCTGCCCTGCCCTGCCCTGCTCCCAGGGTGGGTCAGACCCCAGGCAACCCGCTTGGGGGTCCGGGGGGCTGCCCGCCCTCACCGTTGATGTAGGTCTGCTCATGGATTTCTGTGATGCTCAGCAGGTCTGCCCCCTGCTGCTCGCAGCTGGCCCAGGCCTCCCGCCATGACAGTGTGGACTGGAAGTTAAACTGGTAGCAGCTGTCGGTCAGCTGGTCCTTGTCCCAGAAGGTCTCGCAGTCATTACCTGCCACCAAGACAGCCGGATATGGGTCCCTTCCTGGGAGATCCTCAGGCAGTGCAGAGAACCCCAAGGTGGGAAGAGGGGCCGTGTTCTGCCGCCCACATTGATCCCTCTGGCACCGCCCACCCGACCCGCTCTCACTCTTGATGGGACAGAAACCCCAGCGCTCCTCCTTGCCGTAGTCCTGGGTGGTGGCGCACCAAAGGTGGCCGTCCTCGCGGCCCGTGCTGGTGCAGCCGTGGAACCACTGGTTGTCGTACTTGAAAGGGATGGTACACGGCTTCCCGTGGGAGTTCCCCTGGATGGTGTAGACCTCTGCGGAGGAGGGGAGCCAGGCCCTTGGCATCTGGACCCCAGAGCCTTCCCAACCCCTTGTCCCTCAGAAAGAAAAGCCCCTTTAATCCGGGATGCAGAAGAGAACCATGAGGGGGTGTAAGGCTCCCTCGGACCTCAGGCCAGCCCAGGAACGTGGGATAGGACCCCTGCTTAGCCCACAGGGCTGAGAAGAGATTTCCCCAATGCCTGGTGGCGACTCAGTGTGGGTGAAGTGGGTGAGGAGTCTCCAGGTCACCACAGAAAGGCTGCGTCCCATGGAACACCTGCTCCACCCCAGCCCAGGGGCTCTACTCCTTCGTCACCACAGACCCCCTTCTCTCCAAAGTTCCATCCTAGAACTCAAGGTAGCGTCCAGGGAAAACACCCCTCCCCGAGGATGAAGGCTGCCCACCACAAAAGGTCTCTCTATGGATAACTGTCTCCCATTCACCATCTACAAAGGGGATAAGGGCACCTCGGGGGTCACCCTGGGGCCTCCCTTGGGGAGTGGTCCCCTGGAAAAAAAGAATTTTCAGTTAATCTTGCTTTATACACTTATGCACTGTTTTTATCAATGTGTATTAATTTTGCAATTAAAAATAATGTAAATGCATCAAAATTTGAGTTTCTTAAGTGTTAAGAATGCTTTGTATTAGAATTACAGCAGAGACTTCCAAAGTTCTGTGGCAGCTCAGAGTTTCCAGTTCTGTCCCCCACTGGGCCTCGGGGACTCGCCCCTGTCCCCATGGAAGGCACCCCCCTCCACTGCCAACAGCCCCTCACCGTAGTAGGGCAGAGCACATAGATCCTCATCGGTGCCGTAGATACGCCACTGGCTGCTGCGGGTCTGGTCTCCTCGGTCAGGGGTGCCAGCCTTAGTGGCATTGCTGGCACGTCCCCCCAGAAGCAGTGACAGCTGGTCACTCAGTGTGCGACAATGCCAGCGCAGGTTCAGTGCCTCCCGGTCACACTCGTACATGCCCAGGGAGGCTGTGGTGTTGGTGCCTGGCCAACCTGTGCCCAGGCACTGCATGGCACCCAGGTTGAAGAGCCGGTTTCGGGAGACCCACTTCCAACGCTGGGCAGGTAGACTGGTGTTGCAGGCAGGAGTAACTCTGACCTGCCCACCCTGGGCCTCCAAGCAGCCCTGCAGTCCATGGCTGAAGATGAGGAAGACGTTGGGTTCTAGAAGGGAAGGCAGGGTAGACGTGAGACCATCCTTGGACTGCTGGCGCTGCCCTCAGATGCTGCCCACATTCCCAGTGTTGGGCTGAAGACCTCTCATTTGTCAGATGGTTCAATTCTCACCACTGACCTTTGGGGTGGCATGGGGGGGGGCACTGACATCCCCCTGGCACCAGACGAGGTGAAGTTTTCATGGCCAACCTCACGCCTATCTGTTCCACCCCCAAAAGTTAACCCCACTCCACTTGGCAAGTTGAGGATTATATTCTTTTCTGGAGATTGTATGAGGAGCTGTGTGAGGGGGTACTTACATCACACATACTGTGACCTTAACCATAAACTTCCCTCAAAAGTGGCCCAGGGCATTCTGTCTCACTCACTCTCCCTTTTGCCTTGCCGTTTCCCAGGCTTCCCCAGGCTTCGTCCTTCCCTCCCAGCCAGTCATGGCCCAACCTAACCATTTCACTCATTTCTGTTGTTAAATGTCTTCGAGTTGGTTCCAACTCAATGCAACCCTGAATAGATAGTGTTTCCGAGGAGTGGCTGGTGGGTTTGAACCACCCACCTTGCAGTTATCAGTCCAGTGCTTATCTTACAGAGCCACACCAGGACTCATTTTTTTAGACAGAGTTAAATAGAATATTTTAGCTCTTTGACTGGTTGAGGTGAGGTGGCAGAAATGGGGCAGGGCTGTTCAAAGTACAAGGGTTACTTTTTGGGGTGATGGGATGTTCTAAATTTAGATCGTCATGGTGGCTGCACTCTGTGGATATACTCCAAACTACTCTATTGTACAGAGTCCTAGTGTGGCCACTGTGGGTTAATGCGTCAGACTGCAAAGCCACTTGAACTGCAAGGTCCGTGGTTCAAGCTCACCAGCTGCTCCTCGGAAACCCTATACAGGGTCGCTATGGGTCAGAATCGACTCGACAGCACTTAACAACAACAACTCTATTGTATAAGGAGCTCTGGTAGCGTAGTGATTATGAGTCAGGCTGCTAACCTCATGGTCAGCAGTTTGAAACTCCCAGAAGTTCTGCGGGAGACAGATGAGGCTTTCTGCTCCCGGTAAAGATTTACAGCCTCGGAAACCCTATGAGTCAGAACCGACTCCATGGCACATCACCACCACCAATCTATTGTATAATTACATAAGTGAATCTTAGGATATGTGACTTATATATAGCTCAGTCAAGCTGTTAAAAGAAAGATTAGAGTGACTTTCGATCACACAGCTAGTGCACAAACCCAGGTTTCTCTCTTAACATCCATGTATTATAACCTTCCACACACATACAGCACATTCCAAAGCACTTCTTAATCCATTAGCTACTGGCCCCTCACAATGGTTTTCGTGTATTAAAAGCATGAACCAGACTACTACGGTTTAAATCTCAGCTCTTCAACTTAATATGTGACAAGTGTGTTTGGAACAGGGTCTGGCACATAGGAAGAGCGCTATCAATGTTTCTTATTATTTCATGTTAATGGTACAGAAACTGACTCAGGGTGGTGAATTAATTTAACCAGAATCATTAGGCTGGCTGGTAAGGGATAGAACTGAGACTTGGGGCCAGTCTCCTGAATCCAAAATCCAAGCGCTTTCTGTTCCACTATGTTAGCCTTAGCATCTTTCTATGGCCCATTCGCCTTGTTGTTAAGTGTCATTGAGTCGATTGTGACTCATAGTGATCCTGGAGAGAGTTTCTAAGGAGCACCTGGTGGATTTGAACTGCCAACCCTGTGGTTCAAACTGACCTTACAGTTCAGTGCTTAGGCAGTCAGAATGATCTTTTAAAGATGTCTGTCATTTCTAGACAACAATTATTGACAATTTTGCTTTTTACTAATAATGGAATGTTAAAGGTCACAATGAAGAAAAGTGATGAACTCAGTAACTTAGGAACTGAGATTCTTTCCATGACAAAAAAAAAAGCCATAAACACAGTAAAAATTCAAATGATAAACATATGCAACTTACTAGAAACAGATCATTCCATAATATAAAAAGAGCTTCTATCCCCAAGAACTAATAAATTATAAGGACAGTATCAAAAAAGAAGTAGAAAACGTAGAGAAGACATGAATGTTGTTACTGTTAAGTGCCATATAGGGTTTCCAAGGAGTGGCTGGTGACTTTGAACCGCCGACCTTATGGTTCAAACAGACTTGCAAGTTGAACTGGTGGTTTATAAAATCAAGTGTAATCATTCCTTAAATATTTGCGATGGCAGTCAGTCTCACAGTAAAAGTCCACATTCACAAGTCAGATAAGTCTCTCTTGCTAAAGTCCTTCAAAGGTGATTCATCAAACTTTAAAAACAATTCAAACTCTTGATTGGGGCTCCAAGGTTCCACAAGACTTGGGCCTGCCTCTCTCATCTCATATTGTCAAGCCATACTGGCGGACCTCTTTGTTGTTGTTTTGTTATTGTTAGGTGCCCTGAAGCAGACCTCTTTACTCTTCCTTAAATAATCTTGGTGTGGTGCTGTGAGATAAAGCACTGGACTGCAAGGTCAGTTTGAACCACAAGATCCGCAGTTCAGACTCATCAGCCACTCCTCAGAAACCCTATACAGGGTCACGATGGGTTGAAACC